GTGGCGAGATGTTCGATTGGCTTGGAATCAATCCGACTACAATGGAATTTAAAAAATTTGGGTACATTGCGATTCGGTCTGGGTTCCGAAGGATTTCATCACAAATACGTTTGCTTTTTTCTCATTTTCATTAGTGATCATTTACAGAATGCAAATCGTCGAAATCCGTCCCGATCGCTATAAACAATGCAAACTTGAGTCGGATGGAACAATTCATTATGATCAACATTTGTATGGGGATTTCTCGTGTCCGATGAAGGTTTGCCTTGTCACTACTTGGGTAATAAAAGCGACTCAAAAGTCTATTTTGAGTTTAAAACTTCAAAATCTTCTTGATTCGCTTTCAATTCCAGGTTGCGCGTTTCCCATTTGACACCCAAAAGTGTGTTCTCCAATTTGGCTCAACTACTTACGATTGGTTCCGGATTCGCCCACAAGGAGATTTATTCAAGAAATACGAGCATTACACAATTGTGGTAAGAGCTTGAGCTTTGGCTTGAGCTTGAGCTTGAGCTTGAGCTACAACTTGTAAAAATCCGATTCCTTTAGGGAAATGGTGAATATTCACATGTGAACTGCACGATGAGCGAAGAAATTGTCAATCAAAAAAACCGATAAGAATAAGAGAATTGAAATTGTAAGCTTCAAATAGGAAATTTTGAAACCTTGACATTTTCCATTGTCAAAGTCAAACAGTTAAAGTCAAAAACAAATCAGGTTGAGTACTACGTGACTCTAAAAGAGAGCCGAGCTTTTTACATCTTTGTGATTGCAATCCCGTGCTTCTTGTTGACTTTTCTCTCGATTATTGGTTGCTTTTGGACACCGAATGTGAAAGATGAACAATTAATAAAGGTAAAATTTCAGCTTAGGGTTGTACTTGTAATAGGTTTTTAATAGCTACTTGTAACAAACTCCAAACCTCAAGCTCAACAGTGCATTTGTAACGAAAACATCTGTCGGCCCTTTTTGCCGTTGGCAATTGAAGGTTTTTTATGTTTTCCTCAGCACCAACCCTTTGTTTTTGCCTATTTTGACTATCATTCGATGCAGAATAAAATTGCGCATCGTATGATACCAAAACCAACTCAAAATATACTATTCACGCAAAGTTGTTGGCTAAGAACCTAAACCCTGCCCATTATGGGCGGGACTTAACCTTTTGCCTCATAAATTTGCATAAATACAGTGCATTTCACATCAAGTGCTCCACATTGTTTTTCTTATTGTTTACATCATCTTTCTTTGTTTTCCCTACCTTATTTTTTAAATTTAAGGTTGATGCCGTTTGCAACAGCTCTTGACCAACCGTCTTAAGATGTAAACAATAAGAAAAACAATGTGGAGCACTTGATGTGAAATGCACTGTATTTATGCAAATTTATGAGGCAAAAGGTTAAGTCCCGCCCATAATGGGCAGGGTTTAGGTTCTTAGCCAACAACTTTGCGTGAATAGTATATTTTGAGTTAGTTTTGGTATCATACGATGCGCAATTTTATTCTGCATCGAATGATAGTCAAAATCGAAGGGTTGATGCGGAAAAAGACACGAAAAACCTTAAATTGCCAACGGCAAAAAGAATTGACAGAGATTTTCGTTACAAGCCTAGTTCACTCGTAGTCAGTATAGCAATTTGCTTGAAATATTGATTTCTTTACTTGAAGTGGACCTAAATGAATTTTAGCTAAGCGTCGCCTTAACCAGTATGATCTCAATGACAACTTTTGTCAATATGATTTCACAACAAATGCCAAAAACGAAATCTTTTCCATTATTAGGTAGAATTTGACTCATTCTGAACATCTGAACTTCCGAACAAAGTTTTTATTTAGGAGTCTTTGTGCTGAACTGTTTGCTGATCACTTCAATCTCTTGCGTGATGTTGGTGATCTTTCCAGAGAAACCAAAAACGAAAAGGACTTTATCCAAAACGAATAGGTTCTTCAAAATCCAATCAACCCAATGAAAATCAAGCCAAAATCTTTGTTTTAGTGGTCGATTTTTGGCTCAACTTCAGAAGCTCGATATTTATCGACATTTTATCTTTCTCACCATTTTTCAAGGCGGAAATCTTGTGAATTTTATCGTATTCATGTCATTTTGGAACTGAACAGTAAAAAATTTTATTTTTTCTGACAAATCTTTTATAGAACCCAATGCGTGAGCTCAGTCAATACTACAAAATAAATTACAAATTCTTCATTAATTATTTTCCCCATCCCCATGGACGTTGTTGCTGATAGTAATATTGTTGCTGAGGATAATATTGTTGTTGATAGTATGGCTGATAGCCTCCCCATCCGCCGTGATCATGATGATGGTGATGCCATTCGTGTGAGTGAGAATGAGAGTGGCTGTGGCTGTGCCAGCGCCTAAAAACTTATGATAAGAAATCGTGACTTTCAAGATTATTTTTCTGAGTCTTTCTGAGTCTTTCTGAGTCTACAACTATATTTTAAAGTTTCTCTTGTTTGATTTCTAATTTGCTTTTTGATTTGATTGAATTGAAATGTGGTTGAGTCATTTTAGCAGAACAATTCTTCTTTTCTAACCCTGCATAAAAGCTATTTTTGTTTGAATGATAATGATGGAGATGCCATTCGTGCGAGTGCGAGTGTGAGTGGCTGTGACTTAGCTAAAGCATGTGGAAAATGTTTAGCTCTTACAATAGCTGCTTACTTCATTAATTCTCTGATATAACTTGGCTTTCTGACAGTGAAAAGATACTTGCACTTAACTGTAGCTTTTCTGGCTCAATTTGATGCTTTCAATAGAATAATAGATCAATTTATTATACGAATATTATACGAATTTTGCCCAATTTTGCCTTATTTGAACTAGATTTTCTAGCTTTCAAGACTCTGGATTTTCTAGATTCTAGATTTTCTAGATTTCGAGATTCTGGATTTCCTAAATTCTTGATTTCGAGATTCTAGATTCTAGAACTAGATTTAGAGTGTGTTCCTCCATAAAAATGTGATCTAAAAGGCAACTTTCTCAGAAATCTACCGTAATCAAACTATCAGTTTACATTCAATTAGCCCAAGTTTAAGATAATTGAATAATCCTTGTGATTTCTCATCGAATCCTACCCAAGTAGGGCTAAAAACTGACAGTTTGACTACGATGTTTCCTAAAATAACGTATCTTCTAGAAAACGGGTTAACCGACAAGAATTAGCTTTCCTTCAAATACGATCCACTCACTTGACTCTCGGATTTGCTTCAATGAAAACGACAAGACAAGCGAGAAAAGCCAGCACCAAAAATAGGAATACGATACCCTTCATAGTTAACTCTTTCAAATGTTTCCAATCTCTTAAATGTCAATAGATAAAATGACTAAATAAGGCTCGCACTCCTCGCGCTCTCTTCGGCGAATTATCGAGCCTATCTGTTGTTTTTCTCCAATCATCCAATTTCCCGTCCGTTTTCCAGTTTTCTTCGCCTTTCGATCTTCAGTCATTGATATTAATCAACAGGCGATAGTTATTTTGGTCTTTTGTGCTTCGAGTGATGCGATTTCCTTTCTCTTATCTTTGGAAATGATCAATCTTCTTAATCAAAAGAGATTTTGAACATTTGATGAAAAAAATGAAAAGACTGTAGATTTCCCAACGTTTTAAGCATGAAAAGGCATTTTTTGAGCATCTCTGCCTTAATAGTTATCAAGTTTTACATCAAGTCATTCAATGACGTCATCACGTCACGTCAAATTACTAGTCGATTATAAAACGTGTAATGTGCAAGGTGAAATGTGTTTCAATGAAAGTGATAAGGTTTTTTTCGTTTTATATATGTCGTAGCCGATGAAGGATTTCAGTCGAAGGAGTCTCGGACTTCTTCGGCTATCTCTGGACAGCCATCTTCTGGACAGGTATCTTCTGGACAGCTATGCTAGCCGATTAAGTAGCAGGTTAGTGGTAAACAAGTTTTATCGATGATCCAACAAAGGGGTCAAATTGACTTACAAAAACAAACAATTCTATTTCAAATAAATGACGAATCAGATAGAAAATGAGGAAAAGGGTCCTTTTATAGCCTTTGGTTACAGTATGATAAAATGCGCATTCTTTAGAATGCGTTTTTAGCTTTTAAGCGCCTTTTAGAGAGCTTTAGTTTGTGGTATTGACTTGAGAGTCAATACAAAACTCAAGATTTCATTTTTGAGACTTAATCGGTTAGCCGAAGAAGGTTTTGCTAGCGAAAAAATTTGAGACTTCTTCGGCTGAAATCCTTCATCGGCTACGACGGGGGTGGGAGAAATGCGACCTTTTTCTTGCGCACCTGGACATTTGCGCACCTTTTTTTTGCTGGCAAAGGCCTTAGGCAAGGCCGTAGAGCTTCGAAAATATTTCCGTATAAGGGAATCGTATGCGTAGATTCCGAATTTCGACAAATCAGACCTCGCTGACACGTCAAATTTGGGCTAAAAGGCAAAAACTGCGGAAAAGCGTTAAGTTGCGTAGTTTTTGCCTTTTAGCCCAAATTTGACGTGTCAGCGAGGTCTGATTTGTCGAAATTCGGAATCTACGCATACGATTCCCTTATATGGAAATATTTTCGAAGCTCTACGACCTTTCCTAAGACCTTTTCCAGCAAAAAAAGGTGCGCAAATGTCCAGGTGCGCAAAAAAAGATCGCATTTGTCCCACCCCCGGCTACGACATATAAACATGAAAACACTAAATGTACCGAATGTAACATGTAACTTTATGGTTTATGAAAACTTCTTCTAAGTTATCGATGTTCAGCGGATTTTTGAAGGAGTAGACTTCGTGGAAATTGTTTCACAATGTTGTAGGATATTGTTTCACAAAACAGCTAAACGGACTAGCTAAATCGATTTCCTTTCCACGTTCCTTAGCTGGAGTTCCTTAGCTTTTCTTTTTTTCTTTTCAAACAAAACATCTTCTGGAAATTTACAGGCAGATTTTGGAGCATTTGAATTTGGGTTTATTTCGTTTAATGATTGATTTTTTATTACTCTAAGATTTATTAAGCAGTCTCTTTTGGAGGTACAATTGGGCACGACATTTGTGTATCGTTCAAGATGGCCCGGCAGAAGAGACCGATGATCAATCGCAACTAAACGTGGAATATGATTTGCGGTAATGAATTGGACTAACTGTGTGCTAAATATTATTGGAATAAAAGCTCGCCGTCAGTGCCTTATAGACATGCGATCTGATCGGATTGACCCCACCCACTTCCGCCTTTTTGCCGTTGGCAAAATACGTTTTTTTCAGCTTTCCCTAAACCAATTCTAAAACTTTTAGTAACATTCGATATTCGAATTAGCTATCGAATGGTACCAAAAGTGTCCAAATTTGACCAACTTTCTTTTTTGTTACTTTTTCTAATTTGGACATACACTACTGGACAATGAAATATCATATCTGAAAAACGATCGTCACTTTCGTGCGTCTGTAACTCCCTTGTCTTTACTGTATTTCTAAATATTAATATTACCATTGTGTAGCCCTTGAAAAGAGCTTTCAGAAAATGTATAACACTAATAGTTTAAACTTAAAGACAAGGGAGTTACAGACGCGCGAAAGTGACGATCGTTTTTGAAATATGATATTTCATTGTCCAGTACTGTATGTATCACTCGATAACTAATGTTTTTCCCTATCGAATGATACTGAAAGTTTTAGAATTGGTTCAGGGAAAGCTAAGAAAAACGTATTTTGCCAACGACAAAAAGGTGGAAGTGGGCGGGGTCAATCTGATTGGATCGATCGGAAAGCATGTCTAGTGCCTTATCCTAGCTTAATGGAAGATTTAATAATCTCAGCCTTTTAAAGAATAACTTTTTGAATCTTTGAATGATTTGATTTGATTGATTTGATTGATTTGATTGATTTGATTTGATTGATTTGAATAAGTTCTTAAAATGTTAGCTACATTGTACTGCCAGGCCGTGTTCGCATTACAAGTGAAGGGAATTGGCAAGGCGAAATCGTTGTTGTCGATCGGTGAGCACGCGTAGCCCAGCATCACCAAGCCAGCATACTAAAATTGAGCTTAAAAAATTATCTTTATACATAAAAAATCGTTGTAAAACCCAAGAATCATTGTGTATTACGGATTAGGACATTTATACTGGCCCATAAGTCTTGGTAACACTTTGTTCTTTCGAAATAATTGTTTATGCGCCCCAATTTCCCGGCTCTGTTTACATCCAAAAAATAGCAGACTCCAAAAATCGGCCTAAACTTTGATGCCAGATATCTCGCGTTACAGAGCACCTTTGGAAAAAGTAATAGCATATTTAGAATCAGCATAGCCGATTCTATAAAGTCCCGTGGCTTTCGTATTAAAAGCCACTTTGATCTGGTGCATTTCCCTAGTGAGGCACCTTATATTGTACGAGTTCAAAAAAGGATCTTCTTTGTCGGTGACCTTGACTAATATTTAAAACGTGTACGGCAACGGCGTCCCTTCTCAAAGCACAATTCAACGTTGGTTTGCCAAGTTCAGAAATGGTGAGAATTCCCTTGAAGACGAAGAACGTGCGGGAAGACCTTCTCAATTGAAAAATGAAGAGATTCTTCTAAAAATTCAAGACAACCCTCGGATTTCTACTCGTGAAATAGCGAAAATTCCACTTAACAATTGAAAGACACCTTCATGAGCTGGGTTTTAAGTCAATTTTTGGCCAACGAGTACCTCATATCCTTAAGAACGCCATGAAAGGGCAGAGATCATCAATTTCAGCTGCTCTTCTTTCAAAACATGAACGAAAATCCTTTTTGCCGCGCTTAGTGACAACAGAAGAGAAGTCGATTCTCACCGCAAACTTTTAAACTTTAAACTGCAAGCTCTTTTTGAAATTTTAAACAAAAATGTTACCAAGACTTGTGGGCCAATCTAATAAACACTACTTTGAACTACTTTGAATGAAATTACGGCTTGTTAAGCGGAGTTTGCTCTGAAAAGCTTTTTAAGACAGAAATTGATTGGGCTTAAGGCTTCCAATAAAGCCACTATCTCAAACAAACCGAGCTATTTCCCGCCCAAGTCGTATTAGCGAAAATCGCCACGCTTTGCATCGCAGAGTTTGGAGCAGGTGCTGTACAAGTATGGGTGCCAGTCTTGCAACTATTACCATCCGTGCTAAATTTGATTTCAATATTTCAAGATATGTGTTGCAACTAGCTTTTGGTGAAATCTTTTATGATCAAACAAGCCAATTTCTTACCCGTACGCAAAAGTAGAAACTCCATTTTTAGCCACTCCATCAACACCACTACTCAAAAGAGTGGCCAAAGGAACACAAGTTGTACATGATGCTTGAACCACCTAAATGTTAAGAATACTAACATTTTTTCATGATTGCATTTAGAGAATTTTTGACTTTCGATTACAACGAAATTCCAACCGGGCTTAAGGATCTATAACCCTGACGGCTAATTTAAGCTACCGATCGGCTCATGGCTTAGAACTGAATACTGTATAGGCTTAGAACTGAAGACTGTATATGAATACTGAATGAGTATTAAATATTAAAAGATAAAAGAGCAAGAGTATTAAAACAACTCTAAACATATTTGAGAAGATTTTATCTTTGAGTTAGTTAGTTAGTTAGTTTACTTAATGAAAACCTTACCGAACGAATTGAGATCAAAAGGCACACAGCAAAGCAAAAGCTGAGAAGAGACATTAGCAGTTGTTGAATGTTGAATCCCTCGCTTACTGTCAACTATTTATAGAGCCATTTGTTCACTGGTTTTCTATTAATAATCGGGAAAATTCGGCCAGATTTGGCATGGCCGTTCGGTTGAAATTGAAGGGTTGAAAAAGCAAAATCTATTGTCAAAAATCTATTGTCAATGGGGTCGAAATGAATGAAAACGAAAAGGAAATGAAAACGGGCAGAATGGAGGGCAAAAACGGTCAGAATGGAGGACAAAAAACAGGGATGCATTTGACTTTGAAGGTTTGAGAAGTACTTTCTATAAAATGCGCTTAAGAAAAAGGAAAGTTACCGAATTTTGTCAGTGCTTTGACTTAAAGACTTAAAAAACTCTTGATGAGACAGAGCAATGATTGATTGATTGATTGATTTGGATTGGACAGCAATTGATTTGGAAAAGTGAATCGAAAATCGAATAACAATTTTCAGCTGGGATTAAGGTAAGCTATAAGTTTATCGGCGATTTAATCGGAGAAATTCGGGAAATTTAAACGGGTAGAATACTCTAGCTAGCTTTTCAAAGGGCAACCTTTAGAAAACGCTTTAAGCAAGAGAAGCAGATGAGAGTTAAAATTAGCTTTTGGATTTTGAACGTCTACCAAGGATCTTTGAACATTCAACTCTATAAAAACGAGGAAGCAGATTTCCCCCTGCAAAGTTTGTTCTGACAAATCGCACGACCTGTTTACTCTAAAGCTTACGATAAATAACTTTTTGGGATACCCGCTGTGGTCAAAATAGAAATGGGGTAAACAGCTGAATATAAACAGGAAACCTTTGGCCTTGGAATCAATGAATCTGCTTTTGCAGGAAAGCTAGAACTAGAGCTAAGAACCATCCGGTTGCACATATTCATCCATAGTTTTGAGAACATTTCCAGAATTCAATCATCAATTTCTTCAAGCAAAAGCAAAAGCGATGTGTTCATATGGGTGAATTGTAGTCAAAATTTTGTTTAGAATCACGTTGAAGTGATGAACTGTGCTTAGAATCAAGCTTGAACTTTGCAAACTCGTAATTGTGCTTAACCGCGTTTCGTAAGTTTTCAAAAGTTTCTTTATTGCAAATAATGTTCTAAATGATAAGCTCATAACTTGACTGAATGAATCTCATTTGTGTTCCCATTCCGACTCTTTGGCTTTCCTCGATATTTCGGTGTTTTCTTGATGATTCCTCGATCAATTAGTTCGTAAGCCATATCCACCATCGCTTCTCGGGAATCATTTGGATGAACACCAAGCACTTCACGTAACTGAAGAAGATCTTTAAATTAGCTAAATTAGCTGAATTAGCTTTCAATTAATAGTAAACTTTCAATTAATAGTAAGCTTTCAATCTATATCGTTAGTCATACTCTCAAATAAGAATCTTTCAGTCTACAGGGTGACTCACAATTCTGTGCTGTACTTCAGAGGACCTAGCTTGACCAAAATTGAGTCAATCATTCTGATTTCTCTAAAAGGAAATCTTAAGTATGTCTCCTAAAACGGTACCCATTATCTAATCGATTCAAGCTTTCAACTTTTTTATATAACCTCCCAAAGTTAAGAGCCTGTAGACTGAGATTGAACTATACTGGGCAAAACTAGGATAGTAAATTCAAAAAAAGCTCAAGAATAGTTATTGTTTTTATGCTTTAAACAAATTTTTTTAAACAACGAACCCTCGTATTATCAAATCGTGTCTCCATTCCTAGTCTTGGGGCAAGCGCCGAGAGTTTCCCGCTAAACACTGAGCCGACCTTGATTATCCAATCGGGAATCGTTTTTGTTGCTGGTGAATAGCCTAATCATTTGCAATTGAGGCTTTTTCAAGTTTCGACAATACCTTGACTGACGAACTCTTCGCTTAATCGTTTTGCCATATCGGTCAGGTAGATTGGATCGGCCTCACAGCAGATCACCCTCATTCCGTCTGACTCGGGCCTTATCATGGCTTCGACGTGTGCCTTGAGAAAAAATGATAAATTTTATGTGAAAGTGACACTTTAATGAAGCTACAATAAAGTTAGAGTTTTCTAAAATGCAATTTTTACTAACTAATCAGTTTTCAATATACTTTCAATAGTCAAACTTCATTGACTAAAGTACTGAATGTCTTTCTTAAATGTAGCAGCTGAAATTTCCGCTTTTCTAGCATGTTTTTAAACAAATCAAATGACCTGTGACAGTTGACTTAAAACATTTACAACAAATAGAACTTTTTTGGACTCCAAAAATGAAAAAGGAGCACATTTTCGGGCAGCATTTAAAAGATGAAAGTTTTGTGTATTGGACTTTGTTTTTGCAACTGGGAAACTCCATTAGAAAACTCGTTTGTTAATGAAATGGATTATGAAATGGATAATGAAATGGATAATGAAATGGATTAACAAATCAAGCTTGAACTCACCGTTGCACAATCGCGAACATCGATGCAAGCAAATGTAATTCGAGGTAGACCGGACATTGTCATCATTTGCACGGCTGACTAGAATCTTTCATTTAAAGAAGCCACAATAAAGTTAGAGTTTTCTGAAATGCAATTTTTACTAACTTACTAGCTTTTAATATATTGGGTTGGGGAGAATGAGTAGTCGGCGCCGAAATTTAAAGAAACTTTTTGCACCCATAAAACCTTCTTTAAATACACGTTTTGTTACATCAAAATGGTCCACTATTTCTTTATAAAATGGCTTTTGAGAGATTCCACAAAGCTTTTCTTTTTTGGGATTTTATGGATTCCCAAACACAGCTAATCAAAATGACAAAAAGTCCGACTCATTGCTTGAACAGTTTCTTCCACATAAACCTCCTTTGGTGTTTATATAAAAAAGATAGAGCACACTCAATTACATAAGTTACCAAATTTTCAGGAAGATCCCTCCAACCGTTTACTCTAGATGACAGTTTATCGATTTTGTGTAAAAATGATCCTTTGTTGAGTTGAGGCGCTGTTTGAGTTCTCTTTTAAATATTATTTTCTAGAGAATTAGTTACCCTTCTACGGATATCAAACGCATATCATTTGACAAAGTCTGCTATAAGTCTTAGAAATTTCTTTGATTTTCGGCGCCGACTCATTCTCCCCAACCCAATACTTTCAATATAGCTTTTAGTGGTTTCAATATAGCTTTTTGTTGGTGCATAAGTCTTTGCAATCTTTTCAAATATTTCTTTTCATGAAAAAGAATTCTTTACTAAATTCTTTACTAAATTTGTTGCGTCCTAAACTATTAAAAAGGTCTTTTTTATACAAAATGGTCTTCAAGAGAAAGCTCAAAACTCGCCCCAACTCAATAAAAACGCATCTTTAATGTAAAATTTTCAACTGTTGTTTTAAAAAATTGCTGCACGGATCGTTTTCAAATTTTACAGACTTATGTAATCAAATAAGCTCTATCTTTTTTACTTTGGCACCAAAATAGGTTTGTATTGAAGAAAGTGCCGAAATTGCGACTTCGGCATCGGAGCAGTTTTGGGTGCTCACATTTTCGCCTTTGAAAATCCACAAAAAAAACTACTTTCAAGAATTTCCCAAAAAGCCATTTTTCAGAGAAATAATCCAGCTTTTTAATGATTTAAATCGAAATTTTGTTGGTAGCGGCATTATTTTTAAAAAATTGTAAAGATTTATGCATCAACCGAATATTTTAGTCCGGAAGCTTTGATTCTAGACCTTATTCTGACTCACTTGTGTTACAAATATTATATTTTTTCAAATAGGGTACTTGTGAATCTTGTCCCCGCAAATTTATGCAATTTGAACTTTAGCTTAAATTTGCATATCGATATTGAACTACTTTCGGGAAGTGCCAAGTGGAGAAACAAAGGCCAAAGAGGAAACACCTCGACTCTTACCTACTTGGATTTATTTGGCGTCAACGCAACAAAGGAAAGAATTTAGCCGACACGCACACAAATTATGGCCGACATTGCTACCCAGCATCCCGCTAAGGCTCAAGCTCTGCTCAAGCTTAAGCGGATTTTTAAAAACTCCAAAAAGTTGCCTTTTATACTCTTTTAAAATACAAATTTTAATGCAATATGTAAATTTGTATATCATATGCAAATTTACTTTGTGGAGATAAGATTCACATGTACCAAAAATAGAGCTAAAGAGGTAACTATCATTGTTCTGTAAAGAGTTTGACTCACTTCAACACTCGTTCCTTTATCATCGGTTAGTGGAGGTCCCATGATGGCACCGGGGAGGATTACGGTAAGGGGAAAACTAAAGGATTTATATTTTCTTTCATATCATATATAATTCCATATGACATTAAAATATAATCGTACACATTCACTGAATCTTTTTATACCCTACTTGTTCTTGTGTTTCTTTTCCTTCACGAAATCCCAAGCGGCTTTCTCAGCGAGCGTCTTCGATTTCACGTAGGCTATCGATCCCTGAATTGTAATATAAACTTTGTCATAAATATGTGATTCTGTTGTTATATATGATAAAGTATAGCAATTTCTTTTTTAATCTTTTTAAGCACCTCTAAAATCGACCAGTCATCCTCTGTTAAACGTCTCGTTTCAGCACGATGACCCTCTGAATGGAAACTTTAGAAAACTAGAGCTTTTAAAAGCTAAGATTTTTGTAGACTTAGCAATTTAATATTAGAAATAAAGTGAATAACTTGAGATTATAGTTAAGAGATCAAGAAAAACAAGGTCAAAAAAACAAGATCACAAATCCACCTGAAACAGCGACCAAACTACTCGTTAGCACGACCTTTTTGACTGAAGTTTCCTTGGCGCAAGCCTAAAAAACAAGTTAAAAATCGATCTGAAGATCAAATGCTGATGATCTACCATTCAAAATTAAGAGCCTAATATTTCTCTACCTCAAAAACGTTCTTGGTGCCAGCAATAGCCGTGTCAATGGTCTCTTGGGTGCCACCAAGTGGAAATGGAGAGGCCACATGAAGCACATATTCACAACCAGCCACAGCACTGAAGCTAGTATTTGCAAAAATATGGACAAAAATTTGGAAAAAATATAGAGAATTCAGAAGCTTATATAGCTTATATAAGCTTATAAATTCCTTATTAACAGCTCACTTTTCCCATCCATCCTTTTTGTTGAGATCGGCCTCGATGAGTGTGAGAAGTTTTCCACTCGGATCAAGCTTCTTCACCGGTTCCACCTGTAAATTCACCATCTAACTGACATAAATATAAACAAGAATATTTCAGTGAAAGAGTTAGATTAAAAGAGTTTTAACTAGAGTGTGTTCCTCTCAAATCAAATCGTTCAAATCATATTTTCTAAAAGGTGCTCGTTAGCAAAGTCATTTTCTAAAAAGCGCGCCTTTTTTCTAAAAAGCGCGCTTTTCTCTTTTTGCGCTTTTCTTTAATTATTTCTGAAAGTTTTGCTTCTTTTTTCTATCCTTTATCGGAATTTTATAGTTTTAAACAAATTTTTGTTTTTAGAAACAACAAACAAGGGAAGAAAATGGTCAACCAAAGGAGAAAAAGACAAACAACGTGCCAAGTCGGTTTTTTTCTGTATATTTTTGATATTTTAAAAATCTACTGGGATTAATAGCTTTTCTTTAGTGAAAGAATGTAAGAAAGAAGACGAAATGAAAAACACGAAAGAAAAGAAACTTCAGGAGACAGAAGAAACTAGTTACCTTTGACTTTGGCTGACTAATTTTAACTTGGGAAAATGAAAATAACTTTCTACTTATGAACTGCGAGATTACGGTGGTTTAGATTACGTGAGATTACGGTGGCTTTTTAGAAAACATGATTTGAGAGGAGTACACTCTAGTTGTAACTGAAGTTGAGTTTTACCTTAAGTGCGTTTTTGAGTGATCGAACCGTTCCCCGAACTCGATATCCCCTGCCGAGAAGAACTTTCACACAATGAGCTCCTAGATAGCCGGAAGCTCCGGTAACAAGCACCACTGAAAGAAAAAGTTTTGAAATTGAGATAGTTTCAATATCTATTGGGTTGGTGAATTGAAAACTGCGGGCTATTGTCATATGTCACAGTTTGAGCACTTTCTTCAAAAGAAACCCATTTTGGTGTCAATGGAAAAGTTGTAGAGAATCGAAAATGAAGCTTATACCCAAATTTTCAGAACGATTCAAAAACTGGTTTTCAAGAAATGTCAAATTTACGAATTTTCACAAAACTTGCAACAAAACTTGCATTTTAAGCGAAACTACGAGGTGTATCTTTTTGGAAATTTGGCTATAAGCATAATTTTTGATTCTCTACAACTTTTCTATTGACGCCAAAATGGGTTTCTTTTGAAAAACTGCTCAAATTGGGAGTCCTCCATCCTCCTCTCCAGTCCTCCATTTTTGAGTCTCACACTTGTCTCACACACAAACCAAAATCCTACCACGAAAATTGCCTGTAAAATGGGCAGAAGTCGTCAATAATAATGGAAATTATTTGGAATGAATTTATGGTTTTATGTTGAATAAATTTTAGTTCAAAGTCCCGCAGTTTTCAATTCACCAACACAATAGCTAATTTAACAAAATCGATTTTTTTCCAACTCCGGTTTCTGTGCGGAAATTGTTTTGAAAAACTACTCACAACTAATGAATGTTCAAAAATTCCCAGGATTAGGGAAATATAACAGAAAACCTTCAATGAAGCTTTTAAAAAATATTTTCGCACAGATGGAATCCCTCTAATCTAAAAAATCAAAAGCAAAAAGCAGAAAAACAGCAAAATTCCAAGCAAAATTAAAGCAAAAAAAACACTTACACGCTTTGTCCATATTGAAACGAGCTACTGAGAGAATTTCGTAAACTGCCGTAAATCAAATGCTAGCTTGGATTCTTGGGTATTTTAAAGGTGAAACAAAACACGTTAAGGAAGAGAAAGGAGGGGTGGGAGGAGCAAAGAGTAAAGATAAACAAAACTATTCAGAAAATCTTCTCTTTCCTCTTTTCTCCAACTTTCATTCTTGTTTGTGCGGTGGTGATAAGAGAAAGAAAATGAGGGAAAATCGAGCAGAAACCATAGAAATTGGTCAGCTAGGAATAAAACTACAGTCTTGCCGGGGGAACTTAAAACGACTACAGCCTTTGAAACGATTCTTTCAAACTCCGTAGTACAAACATTGAGATTTTCACTAAAACTGCAATATTTTACTAGTTCTTCCATATAAATGTGTTCAATCATACTCATAATTTGACCTTAAACCTGTATAGAATGTTTGTTTGGTAGCGGAAAGATCTGTATTTCAACAATGAATGGATCCCAATGAAAACTGTTCCAATTATAATGGCATTGGATCGTCTACTACTTATTTATTTATTTTGCTCTAGTGAAAACGAAAGGCTACTAGAAGTTTTGAAGCTTTGAACAAAATTGGAGAGAAGGAACTTACCCTCTTATCCAAAAATAGCTTGAGAAATTCTATTTAGAGTGGCATCAAAAATCTAAGAATATCATCTTAAAGCTCTCACAAAATACTAAAAAAACGAATTGGGGTCGATTTATTTGAATGCGATCTAACGGGAGAAAAATGAGAAAACAGTTAAAATCCTCCGTTTCAATGGGTGAGAGAAAAAGGCACCCTCATCGTTTTCCCTTTCAACTCGAAATTTTTTTGGTCAATGGTTCGTTCACATCCTACAAGGAGTGTGCTATGCGAAAACCCAGGCGTGTAAATCTTCGTAGAGTTAATATTGTGGCATTGAAATTATGAAGTTTTGAAGAGCATAGACGTTGAGATCGCTTCAGGCCAAACGGATCGCTGCTTCAAGTGCAAAAACGTCTTGAAACTGACGATGTTTCTTGTAGACAGTATTCCCATAAATTCTCTATTGGATTGAGGTCAGGAGATCGAGCGGGTCAGTCCAAAGTTGCTACTTAAAAATCGTTAATTATACACTCTTAGTAACTCAAATCCAAAAGATTTTGGTCCTAGGCCGTTTCTGTAAGTTCCAGGAGTTGAAAAAAACAGCTCGGCTAAGCCCTCTGGGCCGCTGCTCTTTTTGCACAAACGTTCCCAGCGCAGAGATTCTGAGTAAAATAACATATTTTTGACTCTGAGTAGCCAAATTTGAAATTATCTTTCATGTAAGACCATTTATGCCATCAGAAATTTTTCTAAAACTGATTTTCTAGAACTTTGTTGCATGTTTAGAACGGACCGCGTTTGTGCAAAAAGAGCAGCGGTCCAAGAGGGTTTGGTCGAGCTGCTTTTTCAACTCCTAGCACGTACAGAAACGGACCTATGACCAAAATCTTTTGGATTTGAGTTACGAAGAGTGTATCATAACGATTTTTAAAAATATATTTATTTAGTCCATCTGTATGAAGATCGAGTCAAAAAGGCTTGTCCGGGCTATTTCTGGTCACCCTGTCAAAACCCTGGTCAATCTGAAACCGACTACCGGATAACTACCGATAACTACCAAATTCACACGTGTCTGAGCAACAAATTAGTTGGGACTCTGACTCCGGTGTTCGCCAAAAACATGAGTCTAAAAGTAAGATTACGGTGGTTTCCCCAAATTAGCCACAGTTTGGAAAACAAGTCACTTGGAAGGACCACTCTAGTTCCTCCCTTCGTAATCAATAAATTTTACCGCAATTGATTCCGGCAACAGAAAACACCTGCCTATCTGTTAAGCTCAAATAGAAAAGAAATTGATTAAGACGTTGGCTTCTTTTCATTTGCAAAATGAAAAGAAGTTCTCTTGGGTTTCTCATTATATCTATGGAAACCAGACCACACCTGTTCCGTCGCTTTCTAAGGAGAATTTAAAAGATACTTCCGATTTTGTTGAAATGTTACCCAAACGATCGTTGAGTGTCGAGATTTGGTTTTATGGAATGAATCTTATCTCAATTACCCTTTATATCATGGTGCTGTATACGTTGGTTTATCAACGAAAGAAGGATGACCCAAAAGTGCATCTATTTTATTTTATTCTAGGAGAGGTGAGTGAAGAAGAGTCTAGAAATTTGTTAGTGGAAAATCTGCGAAAGGCAAGTTAAAAGATTTCTTAATACATTGTCTCACAGATATGTACTCTTTTCATATTAAAATGCCTTGGCTCTGCCTGCATTTTGATACCAAAGAGGGAATCTAAAGCTTGACCCTGGTGCTGCCAAGGCAGAGCTATACGACTCCGGAGCCTGCCCAATCCATATTTTCCATAACGAATCTAGGTTTATTGTGTTATAGATTGAGTCATGGTTTATAGACGGAGCGATGATTTATTGATTAAACTATAATAAAACTAGAATCAAGATTACGGTAGTTTGTAGGAGACGCTAGAAAACATTCTGCAGAGTTCAGCACATTCAAGATTCAAGATCCAAAGTCCAAAGTTTGAGCAAAGCTCAAAAAAAGTCGGCTGAACCTTTAAAAACTAATCCAATTGTGACTTCAGCCCATATTTTATTTCCAGACGGTCATGCTTCTGCAGGAAATGTGGATTACAATCTCCGATGTTGGTCTTCTTTTGCCCTATTTTGCATTATATAGCGAGGGCCCGTTTACCAGGCTTCGAATTTCGATCGGATTTCAGCTGGTGAGTGTGAATGAACAACTAACTATACGCGCATTGATTCATTATAGGGATTATATTTTTTGGGATGGTATTTCCTTACAAGCACCGCATGCATAGGTCTCTTCTTCCGATACTTTTTGTTATCTGGGCGAAAAGTTAGGTGAGTCGATTGGCGTTCCTCTCGAGTACCGTGTTTCTAAACTTGAAAACTACAGTAAATGCCTCTAGTTTCTATGGTACGCGTGGCTTTTATCCACACAAATTTGCATATCTGAAACGTAAGCTGGATTCTGCAAGTTCCTATTATACAGGGTGGTCTATAAAGAAGTGGCTCACTTTGCGTATCTGAAAATCTTTTGCGCTGAGTTTTGATAGCACACCGTAGTGTCGGAATTGGTCAGGGGCCACACATTGGCTCAAAGTTGATTTATAGGCACAGGTATAGGCATTTCATGCAAATTAATGGCTAATAGCAAGAAGATATTTTAACATTCTAACACAACATTTGCATCTAACATTTAGCTCAATATTTTTAACTTTGTGTGAAAAGATCACGAGAATTCTGATTTAGGATTGACATGTAGAGGGTAAATATAGAACTTTTTGGTAGCTCTGGAATGCAGCCAACACCATAGTCTCCCAGAAATTCGAAAACGAAATTCATCAA